CTAAATCTGTAAACTTTAGTAACCTTGTCATACCCTGAGGAAAAACTGCATCCAAAACCTTGATTCATTTACGAAATGATATCTGTACTGACCCCATCATATTGCTATGCAAATATGAACACATAAAAAGAGAAATAATAACTAATAAAGTTACCATATAAATAAAATTCATTTAACTGGACATCAAATCTGATAATAAATATCGAAAAAATTGCTTTTACGCATGTTTTATATATATGTCATATATTGCAAATTAGTTTTAAAACATGAACATGTGACTAGTAAATATGAAATTTGGGCCAGGATAAATACACGATATATCGTAGTTAATTACTAAAATGCAAAAGCTTACTGTTTACATAATTGTATATTGACAAAAACTCATTATTAGTAACTACGATTTTTCTTTTTCATTATTGTATTATAAAAAATGTAGTTTATACGACTATTTTCATTATAATTGTATTTTTGTTTTGACATAAAAAGTTTTCCAAAATTAATAAATTATACTATTATTATAGTCCAATTAAATGGGCCTTAAAATCGCAATTTTGGTCAACTTGACTGAATTTTTTATATAAATTAGTTTGAGGTATATAATAATAACAAGTGACAGATAAAATAAAGGGATTTTTCAAGATAACTCAAAAGGGGTAAGAGCTGAAAAAAATTTGTTATATAAGTTATAGAGCATAAAATTCTACATAAAAATGGTCTATTTACTTTTTGTTTACTATTAAAATTAACAGAGTTAGGGAGACTAGAAGTTAAGGGATGATTTCAGATATTTAAAAAATCATAACAAGCAGAAAAATGAATGAATTTTAAAATTTTAATTTTCAATCTACTCTAAAAAATGTAATCTTTCGTTTCAGAGAAATAGATAGATATATTTCTTAATTTTTAGTAAAACAATTTTAATTTTTTAATCATTAATTTTTATAATTTAACACTAAAACAATTTTTTTCTATGCCATTCGATTGATTATTTAAAATATGAAAAGTTGCTTTCTAAATTTTGTTTACGGCAAAGATAAAAATTGACGTTATGAAATTGTTATAACTTTTTTATTAAAAATTAAAAAATATATCTGTTTCTCTGAAAAGATAGTTTACATTTTTTAGAGTAGATTGAAAAAAAATATATAAAATTCATTCATTTTTCTGCTTATGATTTTTTAAATTTTTGAAATCACACATTAACTTCTAGTCTCCCTATCTCTGTTAATTTTAATAGTACAAGAAGACCGTTTCTATGTATTTTATGCTCTACAACTTTTAAAGAAACTTTTTTTATAGCTCTTACCCCTTCCGAGTTATCTTGAAAAACCCCTTTATTTTATTTTTGTTCGCTTCTGGCCAGGGGTTTAAAAAAATACTATAACTTATTGTTATTATATACCTAAACTAACATATATCAAAAATTCCGCCAAAATTGCGACTTAAAGGCCCATTTAATTGAACTATTAATTTTAATCGAAACATCAACAACTTTATAAGATGCCAGTCAAACAGATAAAATAAATGCACTTTTTAAATACGCAAAGGCAGGAAATAACACCTGCACGTTAACACACTCAATCTGGCCTTTCACATAGTACAGAATCGATTATTTTATCGAAACGATAAAATTGTGAAATGGTGTAGTGGCGCACAGTTTAAAATCTACATGCTCAGGCGGTAGATCCTCAATTCGATTTAATTCAATTATCGTTTCGAACAAATTATCGTGCTGTATCGTATCGTGAGAACAGCGGGAACTTGTTTCTCTATCTTCACCAGCAATAACACTCGTAAATAGGCAACTCAAGACTCATTATTTCCAAAGTGTTCGTTAAAAAATGGATATAAGTAATAAGAAGTAAAGCTGACTGACGTTCCGTTTACGTGATTAATTGAAGACGAAGAGGAAGTTTTGCCAAGTTTCAGAAATTTCGTTTTGTTAATTAGTCCAGATCTGACAGAGCTAATACGACAACTGAAACTTAGGCAGCGAACAGGCAATACTTCTGATAAGGATTCAATTAAAAAATAAATAACAAATAAACAATTGTTTGATAAATAATATGCATATTAAAAATTTAGGTACTAAAGGGAATATAAATACTAATTCTGATATAGTGAAATCACTTAGTCTTATGTTATACAGGATGTTTGAGAAAAAGCTGCCATAAATTCAAGAACCGATAGATCATTCATAAACTGACCATGGATCATGGACCATGGGCCTATTGACTTTTGAGATACAAGATGTACATAAAAAATGCATTTTTTAAATTAAGTTTTGGTTGGTTTTCAAAAAACAATATCATTGAAATTTGGTAAAAGTAACTTTTTGAGGATTCGTCAGTGTTGTAGAGGTCGCTATAAGTATTTTTCCAGCGACAATTTATAATTTTTTTTTGATGTCATGTTCTCTGAATTGTCTGAACACAATTATAATATAAAATGTAATTTTATAGAGTGAATCTTATGCGTGTACAAGTACATACATACTGAGAGTAAATTCAACGATGTAAATGAATCAAGTGATAGCTATTTTTCATAATTACAAATACTTATATCGGTTGGTGGCCGAGCGGTATGAGGTGTCAATACTTGAATCGATGAATACTACTATCACGGGTTCGGTTCCTGTGGCCGTAAGAATGTAGATCAGCTATATTCATAAAGAGAAATTAGGCACTCTCTCTGCGGGTATGGTAGGGTCAAAGAACGTTGGCTTGGGTCAATGTGAGAGATTGATACCGGTCAGCCATCCCCCTAATTAATGATGTTTTCGCGATTTCCCTCATTCCTTCACTGACTAACTATATTACTGAATCCTCAGTTGTAGGTCTATCTGCTACCTTGCACTTTGCGCTTCAATTTTACTTCTCAAGTGCATAATTATTATTATGAGAAAGACAAAGTGTATTCCTACGTTAAACTAAAAATGATGCTGCTGACCTCCTTAAAATATCATCACGAGCGATTCAAAAGGTTTCATTAACATAACCGCACGAAAAGAGAGTTCAGTTCAATGAATAAGTTACAGTTCATCATATTTTCCACTGGGTCTTTGCCAACAGGATGACGAGATATGGAAGCTGCTGGGTACGATTTTCAAAATAAATTATAAAAAAATAGTATAATAATTGAGCTTGTACTTGTAAAGAAATGCATGTAATTCTGAAAATAAAAAAATATTTAATGAATGTTATTTCTTTATTATCCACCATACACAAAATAAATCACCACAAAATCGTAACAGATCCCAAACAGGTCCGAACAAGTTGAAACAAGTTAAGACTTGTTAGACATCTATAGACAATATATTACAAATATTTTAAACTGTCTAGTAAAATTATTTAATATTTCTGTCTTTGTAATACAAACAACTTTGATTCAAATCGAGGTCTCACTGAGCTAATTCATGTAAATAAATCGACATTATTCGCTATATAATTCATTACTTGTAGGTGGTCATCGCATTGCAGGATGAAAAGAAAACATTAAATGATTCGGAGTCCTTAACTATTTTGTTTTTCGATGTATGACGTTGGGACTTATTGCATTTAACGCAGAATTGCCAATTAAAATCTGAGGTGGCAGGGAGGTTTTTCCATTTAGTTTTTCAATATTCTCACTCGTTCCTGAGATACACCAACTTTTAGGTATCAAAGGCCTATTACGCATGTGTTTTTTCGCTGTATAACGTCAGAGCGGTTTATGTTTAATGCAGAATGATTGGTTTAATGGTGGTCTGCTGAAGCTAGATTTTCCCTTAGTTTTTGAATATTCCCAGCCATTCAAGGGATACATCAACTTTTTCCTACGCTCTGGACTTCTTCAAATCAATTTCAAGAACTCTTCTGCAATATGCGACCTGTAGAAACTCGAACTAATTCGACTTTAGTCGTTTTGGTGACTTTGAAGTGGTCCAGGAATGGCTTTGCTTACCTACTTGTGAAATTTGTTTGAATACTTTCGAACGTCATAGAAATTTAAATTTTATTTCACTTTTTGCGAGAAATTTTAGCATTCTAGCTTAAAATTAGGATATGTCGTCGAATATCCACATCAACATTGCGAAGTTGTTGTAAAAAGTTACGCAATTCCTGCTGATAACATTGTGATATAACAGTAACAGGCAAGTAATTCTCCTCAGAAAAACAGCCCAAAAATTCGAGAGCCTGATGTTGCGCACCACACAGTAGCTTTTTCGCTAGAAAGTGGTAATTTGTGCAATTTTTGAGGATTCTCCGTCGTCCAGTAATGATAAGTTTTGTTTGTTAAAATAACCTGACAGATGAGCTTCATCTGACATTAGCAAGCAGTCAACCATATCCGGGTTTTCAGCAAGTAACACTTCAAAACGCTCGCAAAAGTCAACGCGTGTTCCAAAATCTTGTGGCAGAAGTTCTTGTACGATTTGAATTTTGTAGGGATGGAAATGTAAGTCATTTAGAATGCGGCGATAACTTCGGTTTGAAATATTGATTGCTAATGCTTGTCGTTAAGCGGATCGTTTAGGATTTCATAACACAGCTACTCTCACCCTCTCAGCATTTTCAAGTGTGCGTATGGAAAGAGTTCTTCCTTTTGGTTTTTCCCTGGCACATGAAGCAGTAGGTACTGCGAAACCTGTTTACCCACTTTCTAATCGTTATTCAACTAGGACCTGGATCTTGTGGAATTAAATGAAAGTGACGACGAAATAGACGCTGGGTGGTTACAATAGAATTAGTATCTTTAAAATAAATTTTAACCGCAAAAGTACATTGAATATTCACAACTAAACTGACATTTATCATAATAGCTTTGACAATGTCTTAAACTTCCATGATTTATAGCGAAAGCATGGCGACTTGATTTGAATTTGTGTCTCACTATATTAAAAAACAAACTAACTTTGAAGATGGAAATTTCATTCTGCCTAACCCTTTATTTTAAAGCATTTAATAAATATTTACGTACGGGAGAACGGATATCATATTATTGTTATGCTGTAAATGCGCTTACCCGTTCAAAAGCATTTCTCCACGATTTTTTATCCAGTAATTTATGGTGTTAGGGTATGCTTCCACGTAGCATTCAAGCTGGACGTCTGTATTCAGGGGTGCCCCTAGGAGCTGATTTGGGACCTTTATCACTGGGGCGACTGGAAAAGAAGAGATGATCATTGCGTAACTGTCAATAGAGCACATTATTAATTTAACTAGGTCATAAAACAGTCTAACAATAAGAAAATCTAAACAGGTCTGTTTATACTTCGAGAATTTGCTTTTATTTAGTTAGGTGCTGAGAGGACGTTTTTAATTTACATGGGAAATTATTAGATGTATCATCCGTATTAGTTTACGATTTTGAGATCAGAAATTTAGTAGGCTTCAATTATAGATGAAATATGCTTGTACTTAAATTATTTCTTCTTGAATTCTGGCGATTAAATGTTGAATAACTATGTATACCTGATTACTGACATTTCGAGACGTAGATATATCGCTTATATTTATAAAAACAAAAGCTCATTAGTGAAATTACAATACAAATAAAATAAAACGATAAACATATATCAAAACGAACCGTTCGAAATTCCTGCGTAAAGCCCTGAATGTGGTATAATTTACTACCATTTAAAGCAAATTACTGCCATCCTTTGTTAGTTTTACGTTAATTATAGACCTATATTAATGACTTATGATAAATAATAAGCCTTGTAGATGTATGTGAATTATACATACAGGGAAGCCTCCGATCCAAAAATGACCTAATGGAAAGTTGTTCAGTGTATTGGGGGAATGCGGTGTTGATATGGAATTTGACTTTGACCGTCCTCTTGAAGGTGAATTGAAGGTCACCTTCATAATCTTAAACCGTACTTATCTTATCAACTTCGACGTCACCTGTTACATGAGTGTTGTATAATAATGAAAAAGTAATATTAACGGTCGGTAAAAGAAAGCGCAAAAACTAACGTATAGGAGGGGAATTCTGGAAGGAAGCCTAGTGAGTTGAATATAGGTAGTTGAAGTGAGAACGGTGTACAGATAGGTAATAAGACGATCGGCGGGCAGTGTGTCAAAGCAGTGAAAAGTTAAGTGTTTAAAGTTTTATTAGTTAGCAGGTAATATTCTTTAAGTACTTTGTTGTTAATTGTTCTATATAATCTTATGATTGTGATGATTATAGATGTTTCATGATAATAATTCTTTGTAAGTTTAGCTTCCATTGCTTTATGCTCAAGGGCATATATTTTTCCAAGGTAAAATTGTTATAATTATACTTAAAGTTTGCCCATTATTTATTTCATGTTAAAAATATATGTATTGTCCTGATTGCCAGACATTACAATAACGACTTCTTTGTTTCACATCTAACTTGTTTTTGCCACGATTACGTTATACGTAAAATATAGATGTTTCATGATAATAATTCTGTATATGTTTAGCCTTCATTGTCTTACGCTCAGGGGCGTATATTTTTCTAAGATAAAATTGTTACAATTATTATTAAAGATTGTTCATTATTTATTACATGTTAAAATATGTATATTGTCGTGACTGCCCAGATATTGCATTAACGACCTCTTTGTTTCACATTTAACTTGTTTTATCATGATTAGGTTGTTCTTTGATTTCTTGTGCTCACTTTATGTCATACGTCTATACGAGCCTTGTTGAATTTACTAACATTTTCGCCCGTGCGGAACGAATCTGGATTAAGCTCGATTGCCTCCCGTATGGGACTCCAGTGTTATGAAGGATCTTCCGAAATCTCAACTATAGCTGGATTGCCTCCCGTATGGGACTCCAGTACCTTCCGGCTCTGCCGGCTAACTAACACCAAACCTCTTCAGTTTTACTTGGAAGTGTGTATGACTAATATGAGGTAACAGATGACACTTAGTCACACATTAAATGAGACAGGTCTTATTTATCATTAGCAAAGGTTATTAATGTATGCCTTTGGTTAGCGGTTGTTTTGTATTTATATTTGGGTGGTAAGAGCAACGATCGTGGGTTTCTCTGCCATGCTCTTTCCCCGCAGGAGCTCTAGGTGAGCCTGGCACTCTCATTTGATGTTAAATGGTTGTTAATGTTTTTGTTGTACTTTATATTTGTCACATGTTTAATTTGAAGATTGTTGTATGTAAATAAAAGTTAGGTGTATTTACTCTGCTTTTGTTTTTGTATAATTAAACCATACATCCCCTTCACAAAGTTAGTAACCGGCGCCTTCCGGTCAATTAAAAATGGATACACACAACGTAGGTAGTCCTTATGACGATCACATATTTTTGGCCACAATTACGTTTATTTATTTTTTATCGAACCTAGGGTTGTTATATTACAATATTTACCCTGATTCCACATAAAAATTTAACATCCGGATGTGATCTCAATTTTGACCTTGCGATCAAGATCAAGGTCACAGCGAGTTCAAATAATTCGTCACCCCTGAAACAACCTCGGAATAAGATGTTTGCCCCCAAAGTTGATGGGATTTTCATCACGATACCCAATCATGACCTTGATCCTTGCTTTTGTTTAGCAAAAAGACAATTTTTGATTCCTCCACGCACTCATTATTCACATTATTTGTTCCTGTAATTGATAATACCTAACACAGCAAATGATATGATTGGCATCCTTCTTGTTCTGGAAGATTGTCAACCCAATTATAGAAGATTTGCAGTATTGTACCGTAAACGCTTACCAAGACGACCTCATCCTAATGTTAATACTATTCGCCTACTCAAATTGAGAGCTCGAAGAAACCTTTGGCGACAGAGAGCTAGGCGCAATATTCAAAATCAGATGCAGAATCTTTGTTTTTTTGCCATTATGGCTATGGTTCATTTAGATTCACATATTTCACTACGAACCATTCAACGTTAATTGAGTATACCTCGATCTACTTGCAGTAGACATCCGAGTTCCATCCATATCATGTCGCATTCAATCAAGATTTGATTGAACAAGATCAATGAATCAAATTAGAAATGATCCCAATTTATTCCGATTCGTGATGTTCAGTAACGAATCTACTTTCAACAGAAATGGACATAACAGCCATTATTGACATTACCAAGGGATTTTTAATAGGCCCCTATTTTTTAAGTTGTCGTGAATAGTGAGAGTAGCTTCAATATCCTCGAAAATCACCTCCCAATAATACTAGAAAATACTGATCTCAATACAATAATAACTCGGTAGAACGCTTCGTATCCTCCTTATAGTCCAAGCATTCTGTCACGGATTAATATTAAATTTGCAGAAATTATTATCTAAACAAAAAAAATATGACCGTATAGAAAATTTAATTTTAAATCGAGTTTCTTGTTCTTTAAACTCGATCCAAAAAGGGGAACATGGTTAAAAAAAATCGCAAAGTTGCAAAAAACGGTTTCTCTAAAATAAATAAAAAAATATAGCACCGATCGAAAAATTTTAAATGAGAAAGTTGTAGGTTTTAAAAAGATCTATCGACTGATTTTTTGTAAGTATCGATTGCTTTATTACTTTTCGAGATATATCGAAAAAACCGTTAAAAATCTTCTCGTTTCTCTTCTTCTATAACTCGTTTACATTTACGCTATATGTTCTCAATGGATAACCCTACAGTGACGATTTTTGGTTTATTTTCTTCGTAAAGAGTTATATTATCATGCTGTTAAAAAATGTTGACGATTTTATTAATTTTAAGGATAAAAAATTACTGAAAAAGTTGCACTTTTTTGGGTATGTTTTTTCAAATAACTATTTCAATTTTTATTTTATAAAAATGACTTTTAAAGAAAGAAACTGCTGCCATCTTTTCACGAATGTTTTTCTACGACCTTCTGGAGCCGAGATAAATTTTTTATTTAAAAAAAATGTTGAAGATGCAATTAACATTTAACAGCGATGCGCTTGATGGAGGTTAATAATGAATACTTATATTTAAAAAAAATAGTAGGATATGTTTACTTGATTTTTAGTATTAGTAATTGAGTAATAAACTGAAGCGCGCAAGCGTTTTTTGCAACTTTGCAATCATTTTTTTTAACCATGTTCGTCATTTTGGATCGAGTTTCTATACGGTCATATTTTTTTTGTCCAGGTAATAATTTCTGTAAGCATTTCTCTATAATGCTTGGACTATTATGCATACCGTCGCGTAAGGAAGCTAGTGCAAGTAACAAGATGGATGTGGTTATAACAAGATGGGGCATCATCGCACTATGCAAGGATAGAGCAGAATTGTACGAATTATCATTTTTCGAATAGTTGAATCGAATTTTTATTTGGGGGGATACCTCAAAAATACAGTCTATGGGGAAAGACCAACTACTCATGACAATATGAGAATGTCAAAGTCAATACTGCTACATTTGAGCATTTATTGCTTTGATATTCTAAACAGATAATTAACTCAAAATCAGCCCTTTTCAAAGCTATGATATACAAAATCCGATCGTATAAGCTCTTCGTGGTGTACTTCGGGTCACATCACTATTAGTGGACCATTGATACCACTTCGATAGTATTCCAGGGTTAATTTTTGATTTGATCTTTAAATTAAATTCTAATTTGATCCTTACTTTGCAATGTACTCGAGTGTAGGTTTTACCACTTTTTCAGGACCCAGTATCAAGAATACAGGTTCCGACATAAAATGAAACAACGTTAACCTTTAATTAACCTTCAAATGACATTCAAACTTAAATATGGTCCCGAACACCTTTAACAACATTTGTAGATGTCATCAGTCAATTTCTATAGTCAATCTTCAAATGTTCTTGAAGGTCAGATTCAAAGTCAAGATTGAGTAACTTGATAAAAATCCCATCAACTCTGGAGGCAAACATCTTATTCCGAGGTTCCTTCAGGGGTGACGAATCATTTGAACTCGCTGTGACATTGACCTTGACCGCAAGGTCAAGTTGAGATCACATCCGGGTGAAAAACTTTCTGCCGAATCCATTCCCAGGATAAAAAATAGAGGACCCCATTTAAAATTATGAAGTTGACCTTCAATTGACCTTCAAGATTAGGTTTCGTGTTGTGCTGGGTTTCCATGGAAGTCTAGCAGCGGACACCTGTAATTCCGGCACGGCGTGTCCCTCCGATGGCAGATAGGGGAATGCCCTCACCAGCTTGCTGGCGTGTAGGTGTG